AGCTCCCCGGGTCCAACTCCAAGGCTGGTTCTTGTAGCACTTGCTGCGCATTACCCCAGTGTGGACGATTCTATTTTCCAAAAGTGGAAAATATACATCTCATCTCATGACATATCTCATTTCACATGCTGTAATGCTCCTTCCACTGCAGGATGGTGTTAAGTCCTCTGCCCTGGCACCTAGGCCAAGTTCTGTGACCACTTGGGCCAAAACCATATGCTATATGACTTCTGAGGTCAAGTTATAAAGATGCCACACGCACTACTGGTTTCTTCCTTGGGTCCTCACCGTGAGCCTGAAGCTGAGTAGCCATGTGGAGAAGCCATGGCTGGGGGCAGACCACAGGCCGAGAAGAGGTTCCAGCCAGCAGCCAGCCTCAGCCACCATATGTGTTTCCAAATGAAACCAGACTCCAGTCGCCAGGTCACCCTGAGGCTCTGAGTTCTTCAGAGAGGCTCACAGAGCAGAGACAACCATCCCCACTGACTCCTATCTGAACTTCTGACCCAGAGGCTGTGAGCATAAAATGATGGTTTTGCCGTTAGATTTTGGGGTGGTCTGTGTCCTCCTTAGCTCTGTGAACATGTACATACTCTTTTTCACTTAAGTTAGTTTGAATTGAGGATTTAGTTGATTTCAATCACTTGCAACTAATCTATTCTTGACTAGTAAACCTTCTCGTCTCTAGGTTTTCCTGTGAGAGTCAGTTACTCCATTTACCAAAAATATAATTTCTCATGTGGTCTTCATGGAGCAAGTATAGACAAGGAGTGAAGAAAGAGGAGGGAATGAGGGCAGGGTCCTTTGTTCTCCTCGCCCGTGATGCCACAGGTCATGGAATGCTTCCTTGCCTCTTTTAAGTCATCTGTCTTCTCAGGGCTGAATTCTGACCACTGTTCTGCTCTGTGACCTTTGACGAGCTGCTATGCTTTGCTGGGTCTTTTTTGGTTGGTCGATCGGGAAGCTATTTCTTCACTAGGGAAAAAAAAAAAAAGGGAATGAGGTTAGAGGTGACATTAGTGTTATTATTATTTTTCAGTGTTGGGTGCCAGGGGTGCTCTGTGACTAAGGTACATCCTCAGCCCTTTTTATTTTATTTACTTACTTGGTACTGGGGATTTAATTCAGGGGCTCTTGACCACTGAGCCACATCCCCAGCCCTATTTTTTGTATTTTATTTAGAGACAGGGTCTCACTGAGTTGCTTAGTGCCTCGCAGTTGCTGAGGCTGGCTTTGAACTCAAGATCCTCCAGTTTCAGCCTCTGAGTCGCTGGGATTGATGCTGGGAGTACAGACAGACAGGATCTCGTTGAGTTGCTGAGGCTGGCTTCAAACTTGGGATCCTCTTGCCGCATCCTCCTGAGCCACTGGGATTACAGGTGTACCACATACCTGACTAACAGTGTTGTTAATGATACTTATGTCCTAAGCATGCTATTCTGTGTTCTCCACGTTAGTCGTGTGAGTCCCCCCAAGGTCCTATGCAGCAGGGGTCAGCCACTTTTGAATCTTTTCCTGGACTAACATTCTTTGTTTTTGGTATCAGCAATTGAACCTAGGCACACTTAATCACTGAACCACATTCCCAGCTCTTTTTAAATATTTTCTTTAGAGACACGGTCTCACTGAATTTCTTAGGGCCTAAGTTGATGAGGTTGGCTTTGAACCCACAATCCTCCTGCCTCAGTTTCTCAAGCTGCTAGGATTACAGGTGTGTGTCACAGCACCAGCTCCTGGACTAACATCCCATAAACATCCCTCATTCTCATATACTATGGGGGTATGACAAATCATATGTAACCAGTTCCTTGTTTTCAAGAAGCTTATGTTCAGATTGGAAAGGTGAAGCGAAACTAGGCATTATATTCTGGTCTAACTTGAATAGTGCTGACCATAAATGCAATAGGAGGTATGTTATTTATCCATTGCTGTGTAACAACCTGCAACAATTGTTATTCAATAACACAAAACAAGATGCAGGAGCTGTGGTTGTGGCTCAGAGGTAGAGCACTTGCCTCGAATGTGTGAGGCACTGGGTTTGATTCTCAGCACCACATATAAATAAATTAATAAAGGTCCTTCAACAACTAAAATGAATAAAATTTTAAAAACTCCAAACAAACAAAACCAAGCTGCATCCCTGGTCTCGTGGTTTCAGTCGGTGTCAGGAATCTGGACTGGGCTTTGTTGGATCCTCTGCTCAGGTCACACTGCAATCAAAGTGGTGGCTGGGCTGTTTCTTTTTGGAGCTCAAGATCCTATTCTAAGTTCATGTGGTTGCTGGCAGAATTTCCTCAAAGTACAGGACTGAAGGCCCGATTTTCTTGCTGTCCCTCAGCTTCTGGAGGTCTCTGCTGTTCCCCACAGTGTGGTGTCCCCAGAGGCACTTCTCAGGAGGGCAGCTACTTTCTCAAGGCCTGCGGGAGAACCTCCTCACTTAGCCTGCTAGGGAGGAATGTTAAATCATTGCCATATTTTATTGCCTAGAAGAGGTCACAGGTCCCATTTACCCTCAAGGGGAGGGAATTACACAAGAGCTCAAAGGGGGTCACATGAAGGTGTATCTTCCTCAGGAATTTCGAAGAGAGATGTCAGAGTGAACTGGAGTCCTCGTGGAAGGCTTAATGGAGGGACTTCTGTAGGGCTTGAAAAATGAGTAAAATTCACACCAGTGAAGAGAGAGAGAGAAAAGATAGCATATCTAGGATGCAAGGATCATGTGAGCAAAAGTTCAGAGGTGAAATTCTCACCTAAGAATTCCCACAAAAAGGTAACAGAAACCTGCTAATTCTGCAGGTCACAAAGGGCAGGTGGAACTTTTTCATAATTAACCAAAAGGAAGCTAGATAGTGAAGAGTGCCCTGACCTTGGTGTCAGAACATCTGGGTTCAAGGTTCAGTTACCCTGTTAACTAGCAATGTGACTGGGTCTGATGGTTATCTGGGCCTAGTTTCATGTGAATACTTCTGTTTGTTAATGCATGGTGAAACAAGCCCTTGCATGGAAAGTGCTCGCTCTGCATATGGTCCAGGTCCTGGATGTCAGCTTCGTTGACATCTCTCTGGGTCCCCCAGCTCTCTGGCTTCTCTTAGTCTTTCACTCTATCTCCTTCCTCTTAGGGGGAGGAGGTTGGTGGAGATTCCCTGGAATCAGCCATGACACTCCTCTCATCTTACTACAATGCCTACCTTGGCACTCTCATCTGCCACCACCCAGACTCAAAGACTCCCAAATCTGTGCTAACCCATACTCCTTTCCCTAGCTCCAGACTCATGCATCCGCAGTTACTGGATGATTCCTCTTGGATCTCCACAGAACCTTCAAATCCACCAGGCCCCAAACTAAACTCATTATCTTCTTCCACTCAACCTCTTTTTCAAACATTGTCTTGGGGAATCAATCATACACCCTTCCTTCCCTGCCACACTTAGAACTGATATCCTAATAGTCACCAAGTCCCTTCTCTCCCAGGTGTCTCCTTCCTTGTATTTCCACTGCCCTAATTGGAATCCTATTAATTTTCACCTGAATCACTACAATTGTAGGTCCCCCCGCCCAGTACTGGGGATCAAACCCAGTGTTGCTTAACCACTGAGCCACATCCTCTAGCCTTTTTTTTTTTTTTTT